AAACTTTACTGAGGAAAATTTTCCCGGAAAATTTATTCTTTTATTTAAAAAAAATAATGTGATATTCATGGGGGTTCGAACCCTAACAATAAAAATCCTGAGTATCATTTTCTTCAAGACTAGCACGCTAACCACTAGACTACGCAAGATCTGATGAATAGTGGCATTTAAATCATGTTTGTGATATGACCCTTGACTTAATGGACTTCAAGTATTTCTCGGAAAGATGCGAATTTTGTGTCAAAAAAGTGTATTTTAAAGGTATAGTGGGTCTTTGCTCCATATTTTAGTAAACCAAAAAATGTATATTTTTATGCAAACTTCGAGGATTAACTTTCAAAAAAATGGAGCGAAGACCCACTCATATCGAAAAATAGTGTTATAGTATGAGAAAATGACTCTTTTTTGCCCTCTTTAGTGTGTGTACAATATTTCATAAGCAAATAATTTCAATCTTTGTGAGATTTTTGCGAATTGTAGAGATTTTACATAAAGTATATTTTAATGTTAGATGACATATCATGGAAAATTTTGATATAATTGAGATTTAATTTTTCACCTTCATGTTTGTCACACTATAGGCTTTTCGCTCGTCATGTTCACCCATCTTCTTAGATTAGCATTCGTAACATATAGTTTAAAACCTTAAGTATATTTTTACCGGAGAAAACTATAGTTAACGGATCGTTTACTACCGTTTACGGTTCATAAACTATAGCTTACATCGATAAACCTAACTGCTAATTTTTGAATTGATATTGAATTCTTTAAGAAGCTTCTTCTCTACCCCTGTATATTTAGCAGACAAACTAAGTGCATGGTTATTTACTTGTTATGAACAAGGGTGCCTCTTACAACATTGTGAAATTTACGGCACCTGGGTCAGGGGTCTGGTATGCAGACCATATAGTGAATATGCATTAAATCTTTGAAAATCTTCTCCTCCACTCCTGCGTACTAAACAGATAAACTAAGTGCATGGTTATAATAAGCAAGTGTACCTCTTTAGTAATTGTGAAATGTATGGCCCTAGGGTCAGAGGATCTGGTGTTAGGGTGGATCTCTGTTGACCTGAGTTAAATGCATTTGATATTCTTTAAAGATATTCTCTTTCCCTGGGTATTTAGTAAACAAAGTGCATGGTTATGACGAGCAATTATGCCTCATCCAAAATTGAGGATTTCGTAGTCCTTTGGTCAGGGTTTTGGTGTTAAGGAGGGGCTCTATTGATTATGTGATAAAAATACATTTATTCTGTGACACTCTTCTTCTCTTCTATCCTGGGCATCTATAGCTAGGAGGCGAAAAGAGTACAAAGTTGTTATAAGCAAGAGTGTTTTTTATCAGATTTGTGAAATTCTGGACCATGGGTCAAGTGTTCTTGTGCTGGGCAGGGCTGTATTAATTTTGTAGGGAGATTTGTACTATATTGAGAGACTTTATTTCCTTTTGCTATTTACCTTTATATTATATATATTATGTATCATATATATACCTATACATATTATATATTTATGACACTCAATTAAATCCGAATAATGTTCAAACTTGTTAAATAAGAAGCGTAATGATAAAATATTTTATAATAAGTAATAATATCATATACTTAATACAAACTTTTCCCAAGTATGCATGAAAAGGGGAATAATAACTTTCTTCCTTAGCTTGAACAAGAGGCCCATGGGCCACCTTGCTCACCTGAGCAAATTGTCTAAGAAAAATGCAGAAATCAGTTCAGTATTGAAAAGTTTACAGGATGGGAGAGGGGAGGAGCAAATTTACAGGATGGGAGGGGGATGGGGATGGGGCAAACTTAAATTTACACTACCTATCAATTTTACTAATCATAACTTTGCTGTTCTTGAGCAGAAGAATTTTAAAGATTTTTTTCTTCTATGTATTCCCATGTAAAACTGATCGCTCATTGTGGCCCCACCCTACCCACTATCAATTCGAACAAATTTGAATCTACACTACCTGTGGATGCTTTTATAATAATATGACTAATCATGGTTTTGCTGTCCTTGAGCAGATTTTTCCAAGATATTCCTATATATTCTTATGTAAAAGGTTGACCCTCTGTTGTGCTCCCAACCCCTGGGATTCATAATAAATAAACTTGATTCTACAATACCTAAGGTATCTTATGTTGTAAATGAAATAGTCAATGTCCTATAAAACATATTTCAGTAGTGTAAAGAGGGTCCCTAAACCTTCCACTCGGTTCACTCACTTTGCTTGGGTACCAAATCTAATGTTACTTGTAAAAGGTTTACCTATACTTGTCATTCCATAACAGGGAATTCAGGGAGCTAAGGTTTCTTTTTCAGTCCTGCAGGACACTCATTAAATATGGGGCATCACACAGAGTGTAATAGAAAGACAAAGAATCATTTTGTCTTTTAAACTACAAAATTTATTGACACTATCACATCTTGTCTGGTTATACCACTGTTTATTAAGAATACAACAGTACGAATGTAAGTAAAAATGGTCCAAGCAACCAATTTAAAATATAGGTCCCATTGAAAAATCACAATGTATATAAAAACATTCAGTAAGATCACATTAAAAAGATTAAAAACTGACATATTATTACACGAAGAAAAAGGGGAAAATGGTTTCACACCAAAGTAAAACATAAAAGTTATGTCTACGATTGCATTTCTCACTGAACTTCAAAATAAATGGATAAATTAAACAGAACAATCTGATGTTTAAAGTACAGAAAAACAATTTACAACCAGAATCTACACAATCCAGCACCTCAAATGTCATCGTTTTTATCTAAAAGTTTAAGTACTTGATGAACATATTAATATAGACGGCATATTTACCATGAATATAAATATTTGATTTAGCTCAGAGACAACAGAATATTTAAGATTGTATGAATGAGAATATACTGTCAAATATGAATGTCAAGCTTCCCATTCTCTATCTCAATTATAGCTCAGTAATTGATTCTCCTATGCAGTTCTCTTAAACATACAATTTTTTAAAAATACCTTGTGGGGTGAAAGGTATGGGGTTGTCTTTATATAAAAGTTAATGTAAGTTTAGGAAAGGGAAGTGCTTGACCTAATACAACACAAAAATCACAATACAGTTATATCACAAAAACCATTAAGTAAACAAACTTGGTTTCAAAAGATGACTATCAGTGTCCATGTATTATGTTGTAAACAAGACACAAATATGACATATAATTCTAGATGAACAACACAGACAAATCTTATATAAATGAGTAAGTACATGTCCTTTAAATGCACTGGTTAATATGGCATGAATTCTGAAGTGTAAAATATTGGCATGTTTTATGGAAAACTTCTTGATTTTCCCAAAATAAGACATGAATCTGAGCTAACATGTAAGATAACATTGCCTTCTTCTGTAACACTGCCAACAGTCAGAACAAGTTTGTAAGTGAAGTTAACAAACACAGAAGTTGTAAAATTATTTGTTTATCCTCCAAGGCATTTGTTGGTTTTGGCACTATGGCCTACACCTATGCTAGATGTATATGTATGTGTATTTAAAGACTAGAGAAATTTATAAATACATGTATGTACATCTAAAGAGATCATGGTTAAGATCATCAAGGCAATGGATTTCCAAATAAATATTAGAACTTAAATGGCACCTCTTCCTCTCCCATACAACATAATGGTGTTGAACAACTTACAATTTTTGTAGAAAATTTCTGTATAATCATTCAACAAAAAAAAGAACAAAACAAAAACAAAATACTGCATACTGTAACACTAACTCTGGATAAATAAATATTCTGTCAATAGAGTAGAAAGTCAGATCTTACTCATGCAAAATCATTATGCTTGAGCCACTCTTATACACAGCACAAAATGTGGACAAGTTCAAAGACTAATTCTGTGCCTAATACTTTTATTCAACATATAAATGTACTGTTTAGAAATTGAAATGAATGTCAACTCAAACCAGTCCCAAGTTTGAGCAATATTCATTATACTTCAGCACTACAGGGTGAAAATTATTAATTTTCTAAACATAAATGTCTTAAAGTTGAATTTTTTGAAAACCTGTTGTTTGAATATGTAGATGTTTGTGCATGTTAAACACACTTAAAGGTAAGCAAACAACATAAACCATAATAATAAACATAAAGGGCTCAGCCAGCAGAACAATGATTGGAAATAACATTCACTATCATGCAGACTAACATAATAAATTCAGGAACAGGTATGGAGATGGGCCAAACAATTGACATCAATCAACCATTATAATATAAAAAGACCGAGAGTAACCTTAATTTATCTGTAAAAGCTACAACGTAAAATAAAATACTGATTCTTGAAATTTAAATCAGAAAAAAAAAATGAAAGCACTAAAACATGAGACACATCTCCATTTAATACAGATCTATATCTTAGAAAGATTAAATAAAAAACATAACTGTGAAACTTAACATATCAGCACCAAAGTCTATTTCTAAATTGTTTCTAACTCATGATCATTGTAGATTTGTAAAAAGTACCCTTTGTAGAAACCGGGACTAAAAAAAATAATAAAAGTATATTAAAATAACACGTCAAAGACAAAAAAAATGTAATTATAAAAGTCTGGTATGACCAGTGTGCTACAACTTTTTCATTGTCATTCAATAATTATTAAAAGTGAAATCTTCTAGAGATCATACTCATATCATTTTCATGACTTCAAATATATAATATGTAAAATCATTACTGTAAACCAAAAATAATTGACAATATCTGTCACAGGTAGTTTACAAAACAAAAAGTATCTCTCCACTCTGAAATTAAACTTGATCCAGTAAATATACATGTAATATGTAATACTGACTACAACGGATGACTTGAATTCTTAAAGTCATTGCAACATCACAAAAACACTGAAACCATTCTCACAAAATGAAAACAAATCAAAACATAATAAAGTGTAATTACATGAATGTGTATACAAATATTGGTATCAATTCAGTAACATTTACAAAGAAGAAATAAAAATGACAACAAATACTAACTCCTACATACATGTACATATAATAAAAATAGATGTACAATAAAATTCCCACTATTTCCACCTCTCACAGCCCTCATTCTTTGGTTATAAATCATTACACTACTGAGTTTTCTCTCTGATGATGTTGTTTGAAGCATGGCTTTAGTGGAAGTGGTCTTTTCTACAAGTCTTTGAAGGGAGCAGAACTTGTAATGGATCAGCGGAAATTTCTGAAACCCCATCATGATCCTGAACTTGTTTTTTGAGTTGGCGAGTTGTACAAAATATCCATTGTGTGTTTCTTGCGAACAATTTTTACACCCCCTGGAACACTCTCTGTAAGTCCATTTTTAAATGACAATTGCACTTCTGATTTTCCAAACCGGGCTTTCAACCTGAAGCAAAGCAGAGAAAATTTCACCTCTCTGAAAAGTGGAGTACTTCAAAAGGGTGCAATTGATTTTATACACCAGTTACAATTCACTTCATTGTTAGGACTCATCATTACTTTGACTTAATTTCAATTTTGAGCTTGACAAAGTGTCTTTTACTTACAAGGGAGCTATATGAAGCTCGGGTAATTTCTCTGTCAGATTTTTGATGAGCAGGCAGACTTTGGACACAAGTTCAATAGTATGCTCACATAAAAATACAAAGTCACCTTTCTTGGACAATCCGTCTCCATTTTCATGCTGAAACAGATACGAAAATTTATAATAAACAAACACTATATCGAAAAAAAAAAACCTGAATGATTTTGTGAAAAAATATGTCTAACTTCTACTCTGACCATTGAGAATCTTTCTTTAAGTAGTAACACTACTATAAATACCAAACTAATTCTATTCATGAACCTAGTACATGAACATCTGTACATTGGTAAATTAACTTGTGGAGTTTTAATATTCACTATATTCACGGAAATAAAAATTCCACAAATTCAACATACAGTAAGCAATTCTTTGAAAACTGATAAGGATAAATTGAAAATATTACTGCTTTTACCAGATATATAGACTGTCTTTCTAATTATGCTGGTGTATGGATCAAATACTAACACATAGCTGTTGGTGTTTTAAAAGCTTAATTAATTGATAAACTTCTATAATTTAATTCTGCCACCCAGTAGAGGTGCAAAGTAATTAGCTATAAAACATGCACTGTTAAATTTCATCTGTGTGTATCACTCTGTCTTATTACATGTACCTTTAATCTTTGAATGATTTATATAAATGGTCAAAATATCACAGCTTTACAGTCATTTTTGTAAAATAAACATCATAAGAGTACACTGTGATCTTGTGTTCGTTGGACAGGCATCTCTATAAATCTCTATAAATCAGACTGTGAGTCCCAGTTTATAATAACTACCTACCCTCTGTATATGGAACACAATGGTATTGTCAGGGTGCGGACTGACGGACATGGCGGAGATGTCGGTGATTGGGATCCGATACTTCATCATCATACTATGGTGCTCAATCAAAATCAAGTTCTGAGAACTTATCACTAACAGCCGTTCCACTGACTGAAATCAAAAATATTGATATATGTACAGTATTTTATGTTATATCTAATAAGAGAAGAAAATACTCAAGAAGTTCTTTTTCCATAACAATGTTATACATGAAAAATAACAGATGTCAACTTTTATTTTGTGAAATTAATCATCCACAATGAAGTTTGTGACAAAACGTTCAGGACAGAAGAATCAATTTCTTTGAACTTATAACCTTTAGCCTCCAAACCAAAATTCCATTCCTTTAATACAAGGGTTGATCCAAAAGTTCGTGGAATTTCTTAATATTTTATTTATTTATTGGTGGAAGTGATTGAAAATTACAGATGGAGATATATACACTTGTTGAATTTTTATAATAAAAAAATATTTTAAATATTCATGATAGTATTACTTTGGCAGTTGCCATAGAAACAGATGTTTGAAAATGCGGGGGAGACATTTATTCGTTCAATATCATTTCAATACTTAATACTCACTGTGAGGAAAAAAACATGTTAAGTAGCACATGAAACGAAAATAATGTCATTATTACGATTGCTTGACCTCTTATAAACCTTTGTGAGAAAGTTTTATCCATTTTAATGGATATTTAGTTTTTCTATTGATGACATGTTGTTCATCATGACATTGTTAGACAATGTCAAAATTCGGTCAAGTAATAAGTTTTGTGAAAATCTCGGGAACACTCCAACTTAAATGCATATACTACTGATACAGGCAGGACAAAAGTGCAGTAAGCCACTGGCTTTCCAGTGGCCTGAGAAATTTATGGAAAATAGAATTGTAAGGGTGAGATGCTCCTACAACGTGACGCGACATACTTAATGTCGTTACGTCGAAGTCTCCCTGGATTTTACATCTGTCCATGTTAAGAAGGCTCCTGTGACTTTAATGGTAATTGGAACTTGATGAAATTTTCCAGTATTGTTGCATAATGGCTCTATTTTATAAATATGTCTATTGTTTGTTTTAATCACATCAGGATAAAATTTTGAAAAGAAATTCCACGAACTTTTGGATCAACCCTCGTATTAGTTGAAATGAGAAAACTCAGTAGTACATGTATTTTTCATATGCATGTATGTGAAAGATAATATATGTCAATTATCCAAATACCACTTTATGTTCAGTGATTGTCGATCAAAAAAAGTCAGACATAAAAATTGTGGATGTCGGATCTCCAGACAAATTCATAAACTCCAAGCCAGCCCTGCTGGCTATATATAATTCGTAATTACAAGTGACAATGTTTGCATGTCAACCCAACCCCCCCAACCGCCCTGTGCACTTACTTTTCCATTAGCTCGATGAACTTTTTGCACTACATCTGCAAACACAATATGATTGTCTTCAGGGTTTTGTCGTTGTAACTTCTTCCATTTTTCATTTGCCAGGATATTCTGATAATCTCCCTTGAAAGGTTTGGGCACACTGAAATAGAGAAATACTGTGAATTTACCCTTCTTGATTTCTCTGGCAATTTCAAGCAAAGGAATTATTTTTATATAATTACATTTACTATGAATCCAGAAGTATTTAGCTTCAATGATACAATCATGTAACAAACGCAAAAATATTTGATCACACCTATTTTCTTTGACAACCTTACAAGTTTTTGTTGTTCCAAGAACAAAATGAATACAAACTAGTAATATTTTTCTCACATGCAATAATATGTGCATTTCCAAGATCTCTTAACCTCTTTGAAAAGAAATTTTCAGTATACTGTATAGTACATATAGTAATTTAGTCTTCTTCAATATATACGACCAGTAATTATATAGTCTTCTTTAATATATACGACCAATAATTATTTATTCTTCTTCAATATACCAACCAGTAGTTATTTAGTCTTCTTCAATATACATGTATATGACCAGTAGTTATTTAGTTTTCTTTAATATATATACGACCAAAAGTTATTAAGTCTTCTTCAAAATATATGACCAGCAGTTATTTAGTCTTCTTTAATATATATACAACCAATAGTTATTTAGTCTTCTTTAATATATACAAGCAATAGTTATTTAGTCTTCTTCAATATATACGACCAGTAGTTATTTAGTCTTCTTCAATATACATGTATATGACCAGTAGTTATTTAGTCTTCTTCAATACATACAATCAGTAGTTATTTAGTCTTCTTCAATATATTTGACCAGTAGTTATTTAGTCTTCTTCAATAAATATACGACCAGTAGTTAATTAGTCATCTTCAATATATACAACCAGTAGCTATTTAGTCTTCTTCAATACATACAACCAGTAGTTATTTAGTCTTCTTCAATATATTTGACCAGTAGTTATTTAGTCTTTTTCAAGACACATGTATACATGTACGACCAGTAATTTTTTAGTCCTCTTACGTTTTTGAATAACCCTCCTTTTTGTCCTTGAAAAGTTCGCTGGCCATCAATTTCTCCTTCATTTTATATTTCTCTGCCTCATTGAATTTTCTTCTGTACTTTCGACACTGAAAACAAATTGAAAATGTACATTGTATAATCATTTGCAATTTATAATTATGAAAATTAATATTAAGTTCATATATTTTATTATGTATAGTTATATTTATTTAAATGTATACTTTTTGATAACAAGTAATTTTAGCAATTTTTTGGCAAAAACAAAATAATCCAGCTCCCTAAATGTAGTGAAATGAAAATATTCAATGCCATCTTTGTAGAATCAAGTTGCAAAACATAAAACTCCAGAGAAAGGTAAAAATGGCTTACTCTCCAGGCATGGTACATTTCTCTAAGCTGATCTGATGCTGCCTTAAATCTTTTTGGACAGTCTGGCCACTCTTTGTCAATAGGAGATAAACTTGGCAGCTTGCCTTTCAAATCAAGAAGGAATTTCTTTTGCTAAAGAGAGATTTAATATACACTACAACTAAGAAATGAGTTTAAGCATTAATAAAAGAATATATGTACATACCCTAAACATTCCAATTAATAAAAGAATACATGTACACATATATTTACTGTAAACATTCAAACTTAAGACACATACCAGGGCTATAACAAAGAATCTGGCAATCTTTGGACCAGCAATCCGACGGAACCTTGGCTGGTATTCCTTTCTTACTCTATATCCCATGTAGTATTTCCTGATCACAATAGCTGATTCAATCTCAAGCTTCTCCCGTTTCAACTTCCTGAGCAAAGCTCTTGCCTGAAGAAATGAAATTTCTGTGAATTTTTAAATTTTAAAAGCCAATAGCTATTTATCAGAGAGAGAGAGAGAGAGAGAGAGAGAGAGAGAGAGAGAGATCTATTATGTAGAACTCTTCAGTTTAGAAGTTAGTTATGTTTAAGAATAAATGGTGGCACCATTTGATTATGAACTTGAATTTTTAGTAACTTAAACACATGGAAGCAGAACAAAAAAATCTCGGAGACATTTAAACAGTGTGCAAATACATATGCTACAATCTGTGAGTGAAAGCATTAGGAGTGTCAATTATCAGTAATCGTAATTCAAAGTAAAAGAAAGACAACTGAGTGTAGATCCATTGCTGGCTGCTGTCTTGTGATTTTATGATGAAGGACAGTATTAAATAGGTTCAGGAGGAAACAAATCTGCTGTAACATTTGTATATAAATAATATACTGATATTGCTGTACATTTAATTAAATAACATGCTTGCTGTTTAAAGTGCGAGTCACTGTGGGTTTAAAAATGAAGAATAATTAGCATGCTAACATGTTATGAATATTACGAAATTTTCTGCCTATTCATTTACTGGTAATAATGCAAACATGCTTTTTAAAAAAAATGGAATACACATTTTTAACATAGCAACTGGTGATTGCTGTAATGTTTAAGCATGATTAAATCTCACTTCCTCTTAGATATAAGCAAATTGTTGCCTGTAAGATCTTTCAACAATCCCTGCAAAAATTTTATTGAATTTACAAAGTAAAAGAAAATTTCCATGGTTGCAGACACTCGCTGCACTTGTGAAAATCCCATCAAGACCTGCTGTTTCAATACTAGCATAAGATTTTAATGAAAATGTAGCAATAGATTTGAATATGTGGAGTGGTACACCTGTAGATGAATTTTGGCAGTAATAGATGAGGTCATGTGATACAATCAATTAAATCTGCCAGTGGATTGATAAACATAAAACCTATTGTAACCTTTCACAAACTTAAGACAAATTTGGCAACAAGAAAAATGCTAGTTGAAAGAGATAGAAAGCAACAGAGTATGGGATTTGGATTGCTTACTTGGAAGGAATCTCATACACCTTGGCAGCAAGTTAAAATGGGTTGACATACACATATCTACTATTACTTGGTGGCAGTTAGTCTATAAGAGGGTTGATAACTGTTAGAGGAAATAATCAGTCAACTGTTACCAGTAACTCACAGACACTTGACATTTGGAATATTTTTCTATTGATGAAAATTTTCCATATGGAAAATCAATAAAGAAAAATGTTTCAATTGTCAAGTGCCTATGCAGTAAGTCATCAAAAGTGTTTTACTCTCTTAAAGAACCTATTGATAGAAGACTTCTCAGGATTGAAGCTATAAATGAAACTAAACACAATGACAAGATGATGGAAGTTAAAGGGTGTTTGTAAGGAACCAACTGTCTAACTGTAGAACAAAAACAGGTGCATCTAGTCTGTAAAGCAGAATTGTTGGAAATAATACAACATGGATAATTACATAAACTCTGAATGTTTTTTTTAAACCATGAATCACTGAAGTTTTTCTGTTAATATATTTTTAGGGGATAAAACTCTTTTAAATCTTAATCAATTATAAACAAATAAATGTAGTTACTTAATTTTCTTCAGGTATAAATGCAATAAAACTTAAACTTTTGATATAAAACAGAAATATAAATAGAAAAAAGAATTGCATAAAGAGTGTCAATCTAATTGGTTCTAAGTATGATAATTCTTATACATGTATTATTTTGTAGAACTCTTCAGTCTGGGAGTTAGTTTTTGTTAGAATTAGTGGTGACAACATGTGCATATATATTTGGTGTTCAAGACTATATATAAGAATCTGGATATATTTGGCCCAGCAATCCCACGGGCTAGTATTCCTTCCTTACTTTGTAACCCAAGTAGAATTTCCTGATCACATTAGCCGATTCTATCTCAAGCTTCTCTCGTTTCAATTTCCTGAGTAAAGCTCTTGCCTGAAGAAATAATGATACTCCATAAATTCTATTCCTATGTATTCCATAATTACTTCAGTGAAGTTTAAAAGGTATGTGTTACGTCCTTCCTATGTATAAAGGTTCATGATGAGTTATCCGGTAACTATTCTGTTAAGGTTCTATTAACATACCTTCCAACCTCTGGCAAAACATTGCAACACAAGGGTAGCTTGTTTCGTTCTTTTGTACATTTTCTGTCCCTAAAATGATTGAGAAGAGGTTTTGTTATTGTGTATTTTTAGAAAAAAGTACATTTCAATTTTAAATGATAGGGAAAAAATGATCAAGTTTTTCAGGTTTTTTTATATTGTAAAAACAGCTACAAGCATGTATTGATATATGGAATAAATGCACAAGTAATGAAAAAGTTAAGCAAATCTTAATGACAAGTATAATTAAAGATATTCCATGGTTCAATTATTATAACTATTGTTAAAAAACTTGTTCAAGGAAAAAGACCACTTATTTTTCACAACAGACTGTTCAAGAAATAATTTACAAATGGGTATTCTTTGGAACAATAGCAATCATGTTTGGGGAACATTTCCCTGCATTCTTTGCAACTTTACTCCTTGCTGATATTACCCAGCATTCTTTGTTTACATACCCAGTATCCTCTAAAATAAGTGCTGAGATTACCAAGCATTCTTTGTTTTCTTACCCAGTATCCTCTAAAGCAAGGACTGATATTACCCAGCATTCTTTGTTTCCTTACCCAGTATCCTCTAAAGCAAGGACTGATATTACCCAGCATTCTTTGTTTCCTTACCCAGTATCCTCTAAAGCAAGGACTGATATTACCCAGAATTCTTTGTTTCCTTACCCAGTATCCTCTAAAGCGAGGACTGATAATACCAAGCATTCTTTGTTTACTTACCCAGTGTTCTCTAAAGTGAGGTCTGATATTACCCAGCATTCCTTGTTTACTTATCAAGTCTCCTCTGAAGTGAGTGCTGATATTACCCAGCATTCTTGTTTTCTTACCCAGTAGCCTCTGAATCGAGGGCTGATATAACCCAACATCCCTTGTTTACTTTAAGGACATTGGCAAGGTTCCTGGTTATTGTATAGAATTTTTCAAGAACTTTTGAGTAGGTTTAAATGTACAAAACAGGCTATATTCTGGATTGTTTTACCTACCAATCCAACATTCTTTTTTAGATTTTGTCAAATTAGTGTTTTTACAATTCTTAATACATTTCCTATGTAAAATGTTGATAAAAGGGACCTACATAATTTTTTACCGTAATATTTCTTCAAAACCCATTTATTTCGTACAGTTTTTGTATTATATACATTATTGTATCTTCATTTCCTATGACTTCTAGATATTTTGACTGAAAATGTATATATAGAAACAAGACATTGATATACCGGCATCGATCATCATTTTTGAGTTGCGTCCCTTAACAGCTAAAATTGGCCTCGAGACTGGTTGATTGTTTTTATCATGTAATTGACTGAAATGATTGAAACACATTGTCATAAAAATATTGGCATGGATTTATTTTTTACTTTTATTCGTAGTTACTAAATGCTGATTCCTTCACACGACCTAAGAACTGTTCTCAGTCAGCATGGTCGACCTACCTTTCAGCATATGTCACATCTTTTACCTTCCCAGCATACTGAGCATAACTATGGTAAATGACGACCTGTTGGCTCTTTGTCCCTGAATACAATGTACAACAAAGCCATTTCTACTTTTCTTTCTTGCTGTATACAGGTATAGATGATTCTACCCGTTGAAGGAAGTACACGTGCTTTTGTTTACCTCTGTAACATATGTTTCATTGGTTTTCACTGCTTAGAGAATTCTACACGGGAGATCACTCTCAATCACTATTTTATAAGTGAAGAAACCCATGTATTAAACCTTTTTTCTCCGGAAAACCCTGACTTGCCAATGTCCTTAACAGTATCTTCTGAAATAGCGCTGATATTACCAAGCTTTCCTTGTTTACTTACCCAGTCTCCTCTGAAGTAGGACTGATATTACCCAGCATTCTTTGTTTACTTACCCAGTATCCTCTGAAGCGAGCACTGATGATGACCTGGCTTCTCTTCATCAGTAGATACAGAGTTCTCTGTTTCCAGCCCTTGAAGACACACTGAATCTTTGTCGCCAAAACATGCATGTGCTGCCTGCGTTTCTCCTCCATGTCAAACAACTAAAATTACAGTCAATCGTACAGGTTGTTTGTCTACATGAATATTCTCAAACTAACTTGCCAGCTGCCAAGAAAAAACATTTTACTGTGATTTCAATATGTCTGTCAAATCTAGACACAAAAAACTAACATAAGGTTTTTTCCTTTTTTTCTGGATGTTAAACTTACTGTTTTGGGATTCCTAATAAATAATTTTGTTTTGCCAAATGCATATTCATCCTCTGGAACCCCCTGAGCTTCTAGAAGAATTCTGACCCCTTCCTGGGGTTTCCCAGCCCACCTTGGCCAGGTAGGACCTGCCAACATTTTGTAACGATACAAAAACTGAAGATAGATCTGTCTGAAGGCATAGCCAGCTCGCTTCACTCGAACATTCTCCATCAGACTGTAATGAAAACATTGTAATCACAGATTACCTAGCTCAATTTGACAAATGTTACCTGCAAGGCAGACAGTCACAACAAATGAATGTTTGACAAGAAATATTAGTTCATTTTTAATTACAGTGTTTAAGAGACACAACTTATGATCTAGAAAATGTAGGTCAGATACAGCATCAAAATAAGAAGGCAGAATAAATGCAGTACCATGTAAGTTTAGTTTACATATACTTATATTATTGCAGAATGTCAATAATATAAAATGATGATTTCATTGATATGGTCAATAAGATACAACTGTTTGATGTTGCGTAATGACCTTACCCCAAATATCTCACTTGATGTCTAACCAAACCCTCATCAAAGTTGTTGGCTGCTTTTGAATTGTTCGGCTGAAAATTAGATACAATTGAATTTGATGAAATGAGATACAAAGTATATGGCACTTGATAAAATATATGTTAGTGTATTTAACACTTAATAAAATAAATGTTACAGTGGATTGTAGTGTTTTATGTTTTAATTCAATAATTTCAAAAAGTTCTAAATTTTGGTGGGGTCTAATTTCCATGGTTTTCAGGGAAAAATTGCTTGTTCATGGGGATTTGATTTTGTGTTTGAAGAAGTAATGAGCTGTGATACATTGGAAATCAACATTTAGTGGAGGACATTAATCTGTGTTTTCATACCACAAAAAACGATGAAAGTTAACCCATCCGGGAGTGACCCCCACTGATCCCCCAAGAAATTAGTGATTTCACAGTAGTGCTATAATCTAAATCACTTATTCCGTTGTTACTTTCACTTTTAATTACCGGTAATTATTGTACTGAATAACAAAATAATGACATACTTTAATGCACCTAATGTAGTTCGGATTCTTTGATGACAAATTCTTCATGAGTTCTGTCACAGATATCTGTAAGTACAAACCAAAACAAAAGACATGACAAAACTATCTAATTCTCATCACCTCTCCATTAACCTGTGTCCTGTCAGCCACGAGTGTCATACATGATACATCCTTAATTCTATTTCACTCAATCACTAGGTTCGACTGTAAACTTGATAAAGCCTTAATTCAATTTCACTCGATCACTAAGTTTGACTGTAAATGCAAACAACAAGGTAAAATAAAGAACGTGTCATGGTTTTCCATTTATACAACTGTTACCTTAAATTGTGAACCCACTTGAGCTATTTTTACGTACATGATCAGATAAATTGTTATCTTAAACTGTGGACCCACTTTAGCTAGTTATTTTTTTTTTTATATGTACTTGATCAGATAAATTGCTACAGTAAATTGTGAGCCTGCTTTATTTTTTTTTCATATGTACATGATCAGATAAATTGTTATTGACCTTATAAATTGTGAGCCCGCTGTAGCATTTTTTTTTAAATATGTACATGATCAGATAAATTGTTACAGTAAATTGTGAGCCCGCTGTAGCTATTTTTTTTATATGTACATGATCAGATAAATTGTGACCTTAAATTGTGAGCCTGCTGTTGCTATTTTTTACATGTATGTACATGATCAGATAAATTTTTACAATAAATTGTGAGCCCACTTTAGCTATTATAAATTGTCACGTTAAATTGTGAGCCTGTTAAAGCTATTTTTTATATGTACATGATCAATTGTCACCTTAAATTGTGAGCCCGCTGTTGCTGGCCTTTTCAAGGACTTCTGAGATGGATTTCCTGTAAAAATAAACACTTGATTCTTAAACAATGATGAATTCTCAAGTTGACCATACAAAGAGATAAATTATAAAACTTTATATTCTGCTTACTTCTACACTGTGATTATCTGGATATTGTACATCATGTTTTTGAGAAGAAAATGATACTTTTCTTCATGTAAAACATTGGTCCCTTATTGTGGTCTCATCAAGGCTCTGAGAATATGTTCTATATTACTTGATAATTATATATTAACAGTAACTTAGAGTCATATCACATCTCATTGATGGGCCAAAAAGTATCATTCAGGAAAAAAAGTGTTAAATTGAAAGATTTTTTCCAATACATGTATATTCTTTACACATCTTTAACGTCAAATCGCGAGTGGATGGTTGATCAAGGGATTTTGCATGGATTTTAGCAACATAAAAATAAAAGCGAGTAATTTTATTTCGCGAGTGGTGTTTCTCATGAAATTCCGTGATAATTAATTCCTCCCGTATATTTAGGAATCTACAGTACTCCTTCACAATGAACTTTCTTCCCTTCCTCACCCTCAAAAATTAAGGGGATAGTTACCATTTTTTAACTGTGAAAGGATATGAAACATTTTTAGCTTACCCTCTGGAAAAAGACCTTTCATGAGGCAGTGTTTACACTGGTACATAGCCTGAGACAGATGTCGGAATAGTAGGTCATTATTCTTATCCAGAAAGCCATCCACTTTGTATGTCACCTACACAAATAACGGAAAATATTGAAAGATATTACGAGCAGCTCTGCTCAGACTCCATCTTTTGCTATGTGTAAAACAACAAGAGGCCAATGGGCCACATCGCTCACCTGAGTAGCTTTGGCCATGCTGTTCTTTACCAGATTTCCCCCCTTTTAATATACCTATTGTGGCCCCACCCTACCCCCCGGGGTCATGATTTGAACAATTTAGAATCTACACTACCTCAGGATGCTTCCAAATAAGTTTCAGCTTTATTGGTCCAGTGGTTCTTGGAAAGAAGATTTTTAAAGATTTTTCTTATATATTTCAATGTAAAACTTGGATTCCCTATTGAGTCCCGCCCTACCCACGGGGGTCATGTTTTGAACAATGGATGCTTCCACTTAAGTTTCAGCTTTTCTGGCCCAGTGGTTCTTGAGAAGAAGATTTTTAAGATTTTTCTTATATATTTCAATGTAAAACTTGGATTCCCTATTATGTCCCCGCCCTACCCCCGGGGGTCATGATTTGAACAATTTGTAACCTACACTATCCCAGGATGCTTCCATATAAGTTTCAGCTTTTCTGGCCCAGTGGTTCTTGAGAAGAAGATTTGTAAAGATTTTTCTTATATATTTCAATGTAAAACTTGGATTCCCTTCTGTGGCCCCGCCCTACCCCCGGGGGTCATAATTTGAACAATTTAGATTCTACACTATCCCAGGATGCTTCCATGTAAGTTTCAGTATTTCTGGCCCAGTGGTTCTTGAGAAGAAGATTTTTGAAGATTTTTCTTATATATTTCAATGCGAAATCCCACTGTGGGACATGGAGACCGGTCCTTCGGATGAGACCATATAAACCGAGGTCCCGTCTCGCAGTAGGTGCTGTCACGAAAAATATCCCTTACTGCTCAATGGCCGTAAGTGCCGAGTATAGGACAAAATTTGCAGCTCTCCACCGGCAAGTGGTGGCGTCTCCATATGAGTGAAAAATTCTCGAGAGGGACGTTAAACAACATACAAACAAACAAACAATATATATTTCAATGTAAAACTTGGATTCCCTATTGTGGCCCCGCCCTACCCCCAGGGGTCATGATTTGAACAATTTAGATTCTACACTACCCCAGGATGCTTCCATATAGGTTTCAGCTTTTCTGGCCCAGTGGTTCTTGAATGACCCCACCCTATTTTTGTCTTTTCTTGATTATCTCCCCTTGTAAGGGGACTTGGCCCTTTATTTTAACGATTTACACTCCCCTTCACCCAAGGATACTTTGTACCAAGTTTGGTTAAAATTGGCCAATTGGTTCTTGAGAAGAAGTTGAAAATGTGAAAAGTTTACAGACGGATGGACAGACGGACGGACGACGGACAACGGGTGATCAGAAAAGCTCACTTGAGCTTTCAGCTCAGGTGAGCTAATAATATAAATGAATTACATGAAAATAGTTCCTGAGCAAGTTTGCGCTCTATAGAAAATAAAGTAAAAATTGAACAAAATTTATGCATTTTCTAACTAAAAAAAAAAAAAACATGAAATCTCAATAATTCGTGACACCACAGCAACAAACATGCCAATATTTTTTCACTATATAATCAATGAATCTTACATTTTGTTAATTCTGATTTACTTTATACAATATATACATGTGCAAGAGATTTGCAAATTTTACTTTTATGGGGGCAGGGATATGCCTTTAGCATATATAGTTCTTTGTCATAAATTATTACTTTTACTCATTTACAGAGGAAAACTTGAATTTGAGATGTTGACATTGTACTCCTGTTGTTGTCGCAGTAAATACCTACATTGCCTGCATAATGTTTGAGTCGGAATGTGCCATGGGTCAGTGTTTTGTCGTTCTGACACTTCTTCAGTGCTTTACTTTCGTAGTGAGGGTGATTATTACAGGCTTGGTTTAACTTCTCTAGGAATGTAAAGTCGGTGGGGTTTCCCGGTCGCATACACTCCTCATCCAGAAGGGCCAGGATCCCAACATTAGACTGTAATAACAACACAAGCAATTTTCTTATTTAAAGATTTAAAATGAATCTGAACTTAAAATACAACAAAACTTTTAAAGGTATGAAAAAAAACTCCAAGGATCAGAAATTGCTTTAAGAGAACAGATACTTAACTCATCATAAGGATTTCATTTTTACAGTATCCATGTTTACTTTAAAATATTTCACTGTACACATAATATAATGACAGGTACTTGATGTAGCTATAACCACCATGATCCAGGGTTATTTCCCCTATTCACAAACTACCTATCCTTCACTAATCAGTTATAGCTACCAAGCATTACATGTCAATATATAACATAACTATTGCAAAGCAAGGTGCATCAGTTTTCAAATATAGATAAAAAATTTCGACCTTGATTTGCAATACACATGTATTATAAAACTATTTTCTAGGTTCATTCCTATACCTTGTAGAAACTGGTATTAAGTCAAACTTCATATAAAACTTTCAAAATGTTAAAATATCTTGTTCTGTGCAAATTAGAATGATTCTAACCTATATTATTGTTATGGCTGTGCAAAATAATGAAAAAGTATAAATTGTTTCCATGTCATCAATATTATATTTATGTACATTTCTTGGTTGATACTGCACACAAGACATCCCTTGAATTAATACTATTTACAGTATTCCCATTCATTTTAACAATATAAATGTAAAAATGCCACAAGAAATAGACAGTACAAAAAAAGCAAAATTCTCCCATAATTTTCCATTCATGGCAAATTCAAATTTTATTAACACTAAAAGCAAACCCACCACAAGGTATAAGACTGCAAATGGGTTACTGTTAGAAACTGTTTACATAAGTAAATTAATTAATCCTTTTTATAGACAATTCTTTATAAAAGTTCAGTTTAACTTATATTAGACTTTTGATCTACTTGCATACATCACTACACAATGGAGGTAACCATATCCCTTTGGGTTCATCTCAGATTGACCTTTCACCTGACCAATCAGCATGTCACATTCCAAGCTGTTGGTAAGACTAAGGGAACTCATTCAGAACAACTGACCTAACTGACAAAACCCATTAATTGTAAGTAATGCCAATCAATTCCCCGACTTCAAGACTTTGCACACAATCAAATGGTCATCAAAAGAATCCTCAGCATGCTGAATGGCTGCTTCAAAATGAAAACAGCTTGTGTAAGACCGATACTCATTTGCAAATTTATCTTGTCACTGAAATTTTCATTGGCATCTATATCTAGGTAAAAAATCAATCTGAGTTGAACCCATGGGATGTTGTTGAATTCTTTGTGTAGCAACCTAATATGAATGCATCAAAGAATCTAATTATAATTGTGTTATATCTGTATGTATAGATTGTACACACAAGTATTAACTACTAATAAGAAACATATTAATTCTGTTAAGTCTCATAAAGCTATGATCTAGTTGGACACATACATTAAACAAAAGGTGCAAACTACTGACTTACACTATTTTTTTCAGGGGGCTGAAAATAAATCATGCAAGGTTACAGCATCAAGCAATTACCTATACAATATACAGACATTAATTACAATTCAATAACAACTCAAATGTAAAGAAACTGATGTATGAGAATATGACTTTCTCATGCAATAAAAAGTTTCACACACACATATAGGATATCATTTACTGGTAATAACAATTTTAAGTACAACAGACATTCAGTTACAATGCAATTTTATCTACTGTTACTGTCATGCCAAATTAATCCATGCATGATTTGAGGTTTATTTATTGCTGACTAAAATTAGATATACATTTACATGTCTATGTATGTGTGGTAAGAGAACACCTCACCTTCTCAACCAAGTCACAGATGACTGCATTGTTGAAGTACTCTATATGAATCCATTCAATTCCCTAAAACAGAGAAAAAATACAGAGTCATAATAAAGCACCTGCTCTGCCAACTCAAATAGCAAAGTATAATAAAGCACCTGCTCTGCCAACTCAAATAGCAAAGTATTAATGTCTCCTTTATACACCAGCAAAGAAAATAAATCTTCAGATTAATGATTTTCTGTGAACTCAACGATTCTCAAATCTCCTTATTTTTCCTCCTAGCAAAGTTAAATAATAACACACTAGTGTACCTCCTTTTAGCTAGGTAAATTGAATAACATACTAGCATATCTCCTTTAAGTATTCTTAAAGCTAATGTTGACTGAATAATCTACTAAATCTACTAGGGTACTACCTCCTTTATATATTCCTCCTGTTCTTCTTTCAGGGTCAGCTCTATAAATATCTGTTGGAGCTTCTCATTGCAATAATTGATGATAAACTGTTCAAAGCTGTTTTCCTACAATGGAGTGCATTTATAAAAATTTTATTTAACTATCCTTCTCTGAATAATTTACTACTGTGAATTAGTACATGTACTAGAATAAGCTACATGTAGTATTTACATAATGTACATACACATAACTTTATATCAAAATAGTCAGGTGTTAAAATATATTGAGGGTTTGCAAAAGTAGTTTGGACAACTCACTTCAAACACTTCAAATCCATAAATGTCAAGGACACCCATGACCTCTGTCCTAATTCCAGAGGTCACCTTGATGCTATCATTGATACGAGCTACCAGCCAGGAAAACATGCGGCTGTAGATAGCTTTACACAGAGCATCTCTCGCATACATTCCCTGTAAACAAATAAAGTCTTTAAACACTTTTATCATGTTTATCAGCTCCTAATTTATCAACAGAGAAATGTGACAAGGAGTACATGTTATATAATTATGCCATATTTGCTGAGTGACACATAACATACACAAAATCACTTACATCATTTGCACTCAGATCTCTTTTCACCTTTTCACCCCTGACCTCTACTTTCCTCTGGGTCAAGGCCACACTTAGATCAGCTGATGGACAGCCCAGTAAGGCTGCTGCATCATCCAGTGCTACAAAGAATAAACTGCACAAATCAGAGATACATATATCCTCAACAATATCTAATTATCTCACATTTTAGTGACATACATGTACCATATCATGGGTCATTTTTACTGCTGCAGATTTTACAAAAATGCTCCCAAGAGGTAATGGTTTTAATGATTAAGGAGCTGACAAACATGATAATGAATTTATGAAAAATAAATTCTTTATGAAGTCCTTCCACTGCTGTAGACTGTAATGCATGACATCTGTACATAGTTCATCAATGCTGTTCATTTTTACACGCATATTTTTACAGTCCTATTAAACATAAAAACTTAGCTAAAATTGGCAGCAAAAAAAAAAAAAGACCTATTTTACAATGTGATTTCACCATACTTTCATTTGTTTGATTTACAGTGGAAGTGATGGACATGAGACACTAACCTGCCATGTTACTTAGATCACATCCGTCTGTACCATCCTCATTACTTCTGTGAGAGAACTCCACGTTTCCTAACTTAAGGATGCTGGCAATCAGTTGGAACAATGATGTCACTTCCTCAGATGAAAACCCTATCACTTCCATACCATGCTGAATTTAGAATTTAAAACTCATAGAATATAATCATTGTATAATATCTTTATAGTGTGTCTTGTGCATCTTAGTTGTTAAATTCACCCCATTACTGAGGTATGTAATGACCTGTAGCAGAACATTACAACAAAGCCTTACCATTACAGTGTCAAAATTCTTCTGATCATTCATAGTAGCAACATCAGCATCAACAGTCCCTTTCAATATATTGTAATCATCTATCTCCCGTGTTAATTTTAGAGACTCTAAAAAGAAATATCAAAACTGCATATTTTTATCAGTAAATATATCAACTTGAAGGTCATTTAATTAGAGATTTATAAATGATGTCTACCAAGTGTGTTTAGTTTTGCTCCCTGTAGCAGCTGATAAAATATGTGGAAGTTCCTTTCTCCAGGCATCTGAACTGCTACTCGGGACTGAAATACATATAACATCCTGTTATAGTATAGGCTCTCAAGAAAAAGTTCTTCATCCTGGATGTCTCACTAAAATGTTTTTTTTTTTTTTTTTTTTTTTTTTTTTTTTTTTTTTTTTTTTGCCATTTCCTGTCAACTTCTAGAATTTTTTTCCACTTGAATTTTTTTAATGCTTCAATAAATTATTTTCTTCTATTTCTTTTTATGCTTTTTCCAAGATCAATAAATTCTGACTCATTCAAATCAAAGATTTTAGATCACAGAACTAGTATCAGAAGAAATCTGGTTAAAAAAATGATTTTACTTCTTCCATTTTAACTGACAAAAAGATGTAAACATAATTTTGTTTAAGCTTCTTGTTTTAGTTATGAAATCCTATCCTCCTTTCAGTTTTAGAGAAGAAGAATTATTGACATACCTTCTCTAATAAATCTGAAAAAAAATAAATTAACTTGTAGTTCTCGGGATATTCAATTGTCATCTTTAAATTTCAAGTTTTTTTTCTCCATCAAAAAAGGATATGCTATAGGAAATACAAATAGGAAGATTTTATTAAGTGCTTACAGTTTGTTATAACTCCTCCAATAGGATCCCCCTTGTAATCAAACTCTATATCCATGTATTTTCCCTGAAATCAAAAAGAAAAAAGCCAGGACTGTGAACACAACATATCTACAAAAGCAGTGCCATTGATAAGAAACAAAATCTTACACTGGTAGACATAAGGCCTAAAAAAATTAACTTGGTTTTAAGGCCTGCCCACATCTCATTTAACAATGCACATTACCCATTTTTATTCTCAAATGAATAAAATCAAATTTCTCTCATGCGCTCGTAAGTTGCCTAAAAAAATCCGGAATCCCCAACCGCATTTTGACCACAGTTAAGATACTCCTTTCAGTAAAACATTTGACAAACATAAAGATGATCCAGACTTTTGGCCTAGTTTAAAATCGCAAATATGGCTGTCGAGTTAACAGATTAAGGTGTCAAGGTTAAATCTGGTCATGACGGCATTGATTTCAGAGCAAATTCATAAGGGAATGACTGTAATACTTCCATGGCACATAGTAGGGGTTTCTGAAGGTTGTTCCATCCTAGAACTCCATAACGCTATCAAAGAGGACTCCTCCCTCAACCTCGTAACTTGGATGTTTCCAGAAAAGCTTCAGCAAAATTTGCTGATTTCATTTAGTGTGGGTAAACCAAAGACTGATAAATTTGACAGTGCTTAATAAAATCATAAGCATTTTTTATAGTGCTGAAACACTATTAGATTAGTTGTGATACATAAGCAGTTGACCAGTTGCATCACTAAAAGTATTGGGTTCTGTAATTTTAACACGTCTGGTTGTTAGGATGCTGTCGTTTCATTACATGAATCATCGGAATGTAGAAAATGCAAGAGAAAAGAGAAAGAAGCAGGAAATAAATTATCCTTAAAAAAAAAAATCCCGCATCTGTTTTTATGAGATAAAAAGAAAAAAAAAGCCTCCCTCTCGCATTTATTTTTGAGAAAACTGACCTGAGAACCAAGTTATTAATTTTATTAGGCCTAAAATAACTACCCTGTGTACTGTAATCAAAGAATAAAATCATATTGATTTAATTGCTTAGAAAAACAAACAAATGTATCTTTGAACAGATTTGTAAATATTACTTTATTTTCATGGTCTCTGGACAGATAAAATATGATGGCCATTGGTTAACATGAAGGTACTTACAAATCTGGAAGAGTTGTCATTCTTGTTAGTCTTTGCATTCCCAAATGCTGCAATAAATTAGGAGTGTGTTAATAGATTCATTTTCCCTGTCTCATTATTGAAAAGAATAGTTAAGAGTGCGTTAATAGATCCATTTTCCTGGTCTCATTATTGAAATGGATAGTTAAGAGAGTGTTAATAGTTCATTATTGAAATGGATAGCTTATACATGTAGTGTGTAAATAGATTCATTTTCTCAGTCTCATTATTGAAATGGATAGTTTAAAAGTGAATTAACAGATTCATAATTGAAATAGATAGCTTAGTCATGACCTCAATAAAGACACCTATAGTCTTCAAGGTCCACAGTGTACAAACTGTACATATTTTTAATTTTGATATCCACTCTCCCTTGAGTGCTCACATTTCTGTCACTGATACTAGGGAGCTAAGTGACCTTTAACCCTACACCTATCAGATTACCTTCGAGTACGGGGTTGGATTGCAGCAGTTGTTCTTTGACTGTGTCAATATTTTCTCCTTTCCCTGATACTTCAGCTACATACTGCATTATTACTTTACTGGCCTCTGAAAATTAACAATAAATCTTTATATATTTAAGCTCAGAGTATACTCACAATTCAACCTCAGTATCTTTCTTCAATATTACTGTAAAAATCAAAAATCTGGAGAATAATTACAGACAGATGACTCGATCTCAATCATTTTTGCTATGATATGTTTGGGAAACATTTTGGTAAAATGATTTAATTTTGATATTTGACCTTAACATGGTTTCAAACTATTTTCAAAAGTAAAATTTTTTGTACAAGTGTCCCCTGTATTTCATTATATTAACTTTGACTGCAGACATGACCATACTCACCTGTCTTGCCAGCGCCACTTTCCCCGGAGATGATAATACACTGATCTAAATGTCGGTCTCGCATGGATCTATACGCCTCATCTGTGATGGCATATCTGAATACAAAGACATACCAATATATTATTTATAGAAAGAATTTTAATCCTGATCTGAATTCTAGACTTATGAATTAAAAAGAGTATTTTATATACATGTGGGGTGGGAGTTCATAGATGTTCCTGGAGCGATATTCCTCAATGATGCTTGGTGTATACAGAGGGATTGTCTTGTAAGGGTTGACAGAAACCACCACTGTTCCTATGTAAGTCTGAAAAATAGTTTCATAATACATAATTAACAATTAGGAAAAACCAGAAGTCTCTGATGAGACTACAGCTCTCTTCGGTTGGACTTTATAATGAACTAGACATGGAGATGCAATAGGAATTCTCTTGAGTCTCACATTTTTCAACAGTTTTGTTTTGAACATATTTTATTGACAATCGGATCAGAAACAATTTCTATTAACTTACTAGTTCTTCTCCTTAATAAAATACATAATAATTGTCATGCATTTCAACAGTGATAACACCTCCTGTTTTAAATCATTCATAAAGATGCTGCATTTTGTAATGATTTCTAAGTATTAAATTTCAGAGTTTTTTTTTTCCCCCTTAGTCTTAACAGTAATAGAATAAATATATGGTTCCTTCGTAGCAAAGCTTGAATAACAGAATAATTTAACAATAACCTCTTCTACACAATCATATGGCAGATATTAGACAGGGAGGTACTGTAGAGGATACATATTATTGAAAAAGTTTTCATATTCTATTTCAACATATGAAAGTAGTGCTTAGATAAATGCATCTCAATGTAAACATTTTTAACCAGGTTTTCTTCAAATGCAATGAAGAATAATTAGTACCATTATGAAAATAATTCAACAGTATACTCAACTTTTAGTAACCATGCATGGCAACACCCTTAAGTGAAATTAGATATTGTTGTGTACAATTAAGTATCTTGATACTACCTCAACATTTCATTGAAATTGGACAAAAACTGTAGACAGAATTATGTGTACAAGATTATCATATTTACATAGACCTGGTTTTGGTCATAATCTGGTAATATGCTGGCATCATATTTGAAAAATGCTGGTTTAATACTTACATAGATCTGGTTATGCTGGTTTAGTACTTACATAGATCTGGTAATGTTGGTGTCTACTTACTTAGAACTGCATGGTTATGCTGGTTTTTGTACTTGCATAGATCTGGTTTTGTACTTACATAGATCTGGTTATGTTGGTTTTGTATACTTACATAGATCTGGTTGTGCTGGTATCGAAGCCTGAGGTTTTCAATGAAGGCATCCTCTGTCATGGGGTCCAGCAGCACAGCATCACTGACCCCCACATTGTTTTCCAGAATAGCCAGTGAACCCTGGTGTAGCGCCATGCTGGCTGTCACGGTCACACTTCACTCTGTTAGAATGAAGAAAACTTCAAATTAGTCACAGACTCTGAAGATTTGCATACTTATACATGCAATATTACTTCCTTGTTGAACACTTAGATGCCAAACCATAAAAATTCTTGTATCCCAATTTTCATTCTTTCTTGAAACTTATAGTAATTAAATGGTAATTAATACACTTTTTCCTAGGTTAATAGAATATCCACTACCACTGTCAGACTGTCCAGAATGTATGTCTTATAAGCAATGTTCTAAAGTCTGTCTGTCATGACCTGACAGCCTCCTACATAAGCTCTGTAAACAATTCTTCTTCTGCCTCCCTGACTCACCCACTTCAAATGACACAGTCATCAGATTTAATTAACTCCTTAACTATTGCAGACTTTGTTTTAAAACTCAAGTTACCAGATGTTTAAACCAATCCTTTGCAAACAGCAATTTTCAATGCATATGTTAAATATAACAAAAGAATTAGAGATTAAATTTTAATTTCTACAGATCTGCCACTCTTAAAGATATAAATTGATTTTCCAAGTCATTTACTTCAAAGTACTGCGTTTTTGGGAACTGTTAAAAATGCAAAAGTTTACAGTTTATCTTCTACATACTAAAGCTTGGAAAAAATGGCCTGATTACAACGTCTGAACCACAAGTTATAAGGTGCAGATTTTTGATACATATAGGTCCTTAAATCAAATACTTTCACAGGACACCTGTTGACTAGGAAGCATCCTGATAAACACTCTTTTTTTACTAAAATCAAGTCCAGTTCAAAGGTACATACCTAGGATACCAAGAAGCCAAATAATTCTGTGTATTCTGTGAAAATCAAAGCGACACAGAAAATAAGAATACACTAAGTCATCTAATACACTTAGTTTACTCCAGTATCAGACAACCGTGTCACACATAAATATAGGAAGTAGAGGAATATACTTTATGACTTTCTTCCCATTTCTATTTCCATATTCCTCCAACTTTGTTATCTTTCTGCATCACACCCAACATCACCAGTTTGATGGAGAACCATATTCCATTAAAATAATTCATTCAAAGAATGCGGTCAACATGATAAAGTTTTGCAAGTAAATCCAAAGTAAATTACTGGTAGCTACAGATCGTAAAAGAAATAACTGTCAATGGATACTGCAATGATTACCAAAGGAAACTCAAAATCCATCAAGATTCCAATAAAACATGAGATAATTTTAAGTCAGATGACACTAAATGCCACACCCTATAATTGCAGCATCAGAGAAAATCTCAATTTCCAAAGACAAAGCTCACAGTTCTAATATTCCTAATGATACCCTGTATCAATATTTCCAGTCAAACAACAATAGATAATCTGGACCAAAATCAAATAATCAGAAACTGGACACATTGACACAATTCATTAAGCTGATTATCATTATACACAACCATTATTGTGGTGTCACTAAAATATAAAGTAGTGTCATACAGTTATTATAGACAGCTAGGAGTAAATCAATAACAGCAGGTGAATAAGCACTCTGTAATACAGACCAAAGACAAACTTGAAAGATTTGTGATTTCCTCATTATCTTTTTAATTCTCAAAATACATGAATCCTTTTTATATCAAATTGCAGAACATTTTTATTTTCAGCATCGTCAAGGCAACAGTGCAGCTTCATCAAAGATCAAGTCAGAGCGAGAGAGACATTCCTGCAATATTTTAGCAATGTAAAGCATACTACTGTGGAATCATTCTCGATTAAATTTGTGGAGGGCTACTTTCATGGACGACCAAAATTTTGCTGGTTCTTGGGGTTGTGAAATTGTGGATGACAGAGATATTGTTCGTGTGAATGTTAATTTGTGGGTAAATGTGAAACATGAAATCCATGAACATTAGCCCCCCCCCCCCCCCCAAATCATGAACATGATTTTAGAATGAGGACTAATATCCATTGTTCACAGTCTGTTTGACTGTAAGTAAACTCATTGTGATCTTTATTATCCAATGGGATGCATTTATATATGGCAGCATAAGGCAACCTTGGAATACTATATAAATAAATTAACAGGCATACATAATTTATTCGTATCTTAATTGAATGCTAATTGTCTGATTCAATTTGGGTCATGTCATCAGCACATATTTACCAAAAATTTGACCTTGAAAGAGGACACTGTGCAATCATGTGTTATATAGATCTTTTATGAAATACATGAATACTAATACATTGTATATCTACTAAATTGAATACTTAAATATACTTTCATATATTCACAATAAACAACAAAATCTCTTACTGCTGAAACAAAATGATAAATGTCAAATATGTTACTATAAAATCCAAGTCATATCCTAAGCAATGTGACACCCATTTTACATGTAAAGTCCTTCCCTACAATACCACTAGAACTATAGTCCTTTCCTACAATACCACTGGACCTACAGTCTTTCAAGACAGTACTACTAAAACTCTTGTCCTATCCTACAGTAATACTAAAACTATAATCCTTCAAGACAGTAATACTAGAACTATTGAATCCACAGCTTAGAATGAGATTAATTCCCCTTGAATGGTGTGTGCAAAAGATATGATCACATACAGTCTCTCTTTTGCAAGAATTTAAGATCAATTCCATGACTTTCATTTGTTAACACATATAAGCCTAATCTTCTGACAGACTTGGACATACTTACTTGATTTCTCCAGCTTCATACAAAATTAAGTTTTATCTGTGAAAATTCCTGAGTGTTCCTGATGAAATAGAAAACAGGGAGATACACAAGATAGTATTTTTGTCTGGCAGAAAAGGCTAGCTTTCCACTGTATCACAAAAAGAGATAAAGTGTTTTCCACTTCAGGCCATTAACTTCACTTAAAACCATCACACTGTTATTTATACATTACAGCATGATATAAACATGACATCTTGAGAAAACAATATGAAAACAGATCTATTTCTCATTCCAGCATTTAATTTTCATCTGTAGCCATAAGTGGTAACGATGTAAACCAGTCAGATAGTCTCCTAAATCCAAAAATAAACCAGACTTAAAACCGAAAATAAACCATGGTAGGCCGTATAACTCCTCATAAAAAAACAACATTTCTAAAAACATTTTTGTGAAATAAAGAATTCATTTTACAAAGAAAACTGTCTTTGACAGCGATTTTTTATAGGATTATATAATTGAGATCAAAAATAATGATTTGAACAACATTTACATTGCATATATCTCCAAATACATAAAAAGCTTATATTCAAATTAAAAGCAGGTATTAACTTGTAGACAACATTTGTAGTATTAAATAGACAAGTTACTTTAACAAAAGGGTATTATAATTAATGTTTCAATATTATAAATATCCAATTGCATAAGAAACTTGTAATGAAATTTAGTCCAAATTGTAAAATGATATTTAAAGTATAAGTGTAGTCTGTAATATCCATATCATAATACAGGGTATGCATGAATGAAATACCCCCAAACGATCAATACACACCTGATCAAATCTAGAAAACTTTCACAAAGGTGAAAGGTAAAGAAAATTAATGAATTCATTATTAGAATAAAGCTTTTTACAAATGGGTTAAAACTCTTCCATTAAATAACTAAAGACGGAACTTCAAAAGCCAGTCTTACCTTTCTTCTTTAAAGTTAAGTTTAGCTCTCCCTTACATCAAGTCATGAATGGCTAATCTCTCCAAGCAAACAGACATTTTCTGGGGATCCACAAGAAAACTTCTGAGGTTTACCTATACCCTGTCACTGTGTGCTATATGTTAGTCTAGTACAGTTTGTTAAAATGATAAAAGCATTTAACAGGTAGAGGGATAGAGAGCCCCAGAAATATCAACACTTTATCAACACCATGCAATACCACTTCAAAATCCATGTATATAAAAAAGAGTTGTAAATTAGGTTTCCTCAATAGTCTGCAGATTATAAATCCATTTTTACATGACATGCATTAAAAGGTGTGTTTTTTTCTGAAGGGGGAAAAAAGTAGCTTCCGACTTCGTCAACCCTGTAATCTGATTTGCAGCTCTGAAGAGCAATGCACCATATCTGCAGCATTAAAGGAATTCAAGGTCAGGAAGCTTCTGGCTGTAACAAGGAAAATCATTGTTTACTGAAACTGATCTTTATGGTAAAAGTTTGCAGAGCTGTATCAATGTAGATCGAACTGACAACAGATTTCATGGGTGATTTCAATTTGTACAGATCACAGAAATAAAACAGAGCAAAGAAGAATAGATAATATTTAACAATACAGCAATCATAGCGCTGCCAGATAAACCAACTATTATTCAAGACAATTTTGATTCATGATTCTTCTGTTTGCAATTTTTTGCAATTTAGGAAATGTTCTACATAAATAACAATTACATGAATAGTCTGCGCAATAAATATTCAAGAAGGGAGCAAAACTCATGGTTTTTTTATTTCATGTGAATAAAAGTTGGTATACAGTATGTATTACATGAAGAAATTGATCATTTTAGGGTTCTAATTAGCAAGTTACATCTACAGACAAAAATACAGAAATAATATTGAAACAACTATCTGAGGAACCTAGCTTAGCCCTTTTATATCTTCAACCTAAGAAAAATCCAATCATCATATACTGAAAAAATGTAATAAGAATTTCTACAAATCATCAGAGATAACAATTTTTGCCAAGTATAATTACATGGTACCCACTGTTTCTGGGAAAAACTTTATTTATAATAGCTCAGCCAATTAGAAATCATGACAGGATTGACAGCCATCTTGGAAATCTAAATACCGGGTATAACAAGAGCATCATCACCAAGTGGAGCATTCCTTCACAAAACAAATATTTCCTTATGAGAAAGTCATACTTTTTAACTTGTTCATTTATTATTCTGTTTTGTAAACTTGCACACAGAATTTGAGTTGTAATTTTACAATATCCAGAGAAATAATTGGCTAACTTTAAAAATTAATAGAGTACCTTAGACCTATTACAATGCAAAAGAATTGTGCAAAGTTTGGT